AGGGGGGTTGGACTAGATGACCCACAGAGGTCCCTCCCAACCCCTACCATTCTGTGATTCTGACTACGTGTCTCTCAGAGCATCCAGCCCATGGGCTCCTACGCCCTTGGACTGCCAAGCTCCCCTGGTCTCTGCAAAACCACGAAATCACCTCCTGAGGCCCCCTACACCTTCGCTCCCTCGAGCCAGCATCCCTCCGCAGAGGGACAGCAGGAGGGGCAGCTTTGCCTCCCCGGGACCACAGGTGCCGGCGACTGGCAAGCCAAGCAGGGCTTTACTTCCCCCTTTCATCAAGGTATTTCAGATATCTGTATAAAACTGGAACCAAAAACTTTGTTCTCAAAAGCACCACGTACTATTGGTACCAAAAAACAAAAGGTTTCAAATCCTGTAAAAATGACAGTTATGTTTTGAAGGAGTGGAGAGGGCTCTTGCAGAAATACGCTTATCAGGTGTATTAGCACAGAAAATACTTCATTTTTACAGGCAGCGTTTTCTCTTTTCCCCTCCACCTGGCAAGGCAGAACCGCTGCACACCTCCATGCTGCCAAGGGAGCCGGGGACCACGGGAGAGCCCACAGCTACAGCCACTGCCCTGGGCTGGGCTGTCAGCCAGAGGCCTGCTGGCTGGTGGCAAAACCAGCAGCGCCAGCAGAGGAAAACCACAGCTGATGCCACCCGGCGTAAAGCAGGGTTTTCCCCTCCACAGGCAGCCTACCTCTGCTTCCAGTTTAAATGGCCAGAGAGCCATTTCCCTGCGGGATACACCTATTCCTCCTTGCAGCAGCTTGGAGTAGCTGCAGAAACCGGTTTCCAGCGGACACCCTCACAGCGCAGGCACTAACCTGGAGCTGTCTGAAGGGAGACTTCCAGGCAGCCCATCCCTAACTGCATATGACACTCAAATTAAAAAAAAAAAAAAAAGGAAAAATTAAAAAAAGAAACATCAAAACCTTCCATAAACTCACACTGCGCTGGTCAGGAGGCAATTATGCCATCCTTAACTCCGAGGCTATTTGCAAGGGAAAGGATCGGGAGACTTGGAAAGGCTGCTCAAGTGGAAGAGGTTTATCTTGCTCCATTCAGAGGAAAGGATTACAGGCATAAAGCTGTCTGTCACCTCGGAGCAGCTGGAGTCTTGAGATTTTGGCTCCAGAGCCTTGGGGATGCAGGGAAGGAAGCTCTTCTGTCCAGACGAAAGGCAGATGCAGCCTCCCGAGAGAGGCTGTCTCTCAGACCAGGGGACACTGTACGGCATTTGTCTCTGCTGGCACTGGCTGCGCCGACCAGGTGCTAATGAGATGAGAATCGGGATAAACGTGTACTGGAACGATCACCTGGTTAATTCAAGTTCTTCCTGTTCCTCTAATTTACATTTCCCTGGATGTTTCACACCGTGCATTAGTCATTCACAATGATGTACATTTACATGCAGCAGGAGGAAAATTAATGAATTCCATCACTTCCCTTATTCGGGAGACTTTATGCCTGAGATACAGCTCCCTCGTTTTATTATGCCTTTTGATCTCCACAATCTGTTTTCCCCTTGGCAGAACTGTGCAATTCTTCCTAATTTAATACGAATTACATTTCTGCACTTTGGGCAGAATAAGCCTCATTGTTCGTTATTTCTCGCACGCTCTCCTAAACCCAGGCCAAATTCCACCTACCTGTCCCCCACAGGCAGGCGTGTAAGGAGCATGATGACTGCTGTGAAACGCGGCGGTCGTGCACGGCACACGTGCATGCAGCAACTAAACAAGAGGTTCCCAACAGGGAAACACAGAGAAAGAGCCTCTGAGCCTTCCCTCTCGCGTGAGGCAGCGCTCACTGCATCGCACACCCTGTGCTAGGCAGGAAATCATGTAAATAAATAATGATGGCTTTTGTTAGGTACGTCATGGTGCCATAGGCTCCACTTGGAGCACTGTCATAAAAAAAGTGGCAAATCCCTGTGGCTTTTTCCTTCTCCAAGATGCTACCAGTAGCTCCAAATGATTTCTGAAAAGACACAAGCAAAGAAGTAGGGAAAGCATGCTTGTTTACTGGAAAAAACCCACCACATTATATTATTTGTGCTGAATACTGAAAGCAACTCTCCTTTCCCTCGTGAAAACCTTAATCAGGATTATTCCAGGACCCACATGACTTAGTTGGATCAGTGTAAGTAAATGAGGAACATACAACTTCACAGATTTTTTGTCCTGTGGCAGGGGCGGGTAGGATTACTCAAATATTGGTAATTCTAATGCCTTGATAAAGCAAAACTTCAGTCTACACACTTACTTTGGAGCTTGTTAGCCACTACAATATTATTCCCTTTAGATCTCCCACAATTCTTAAACTAGTTTTCAAAATATATTTCCAGAAGATACTTCAGTGATTTGGTCTGTCTTTGTAGGGGAAAGAATAAGCATAAGATCAAGCTCATCACACCTACTGAAAAAAAGGAGCGGGGGACAATTTTCAGATGCGGAGGCTTCCCACCACTGCCCTTTGAACTCACCAGCTCCTGCAGAAACAGGTCATTGGCCATGTGCACGATCCGATCCATGTGGATGATGCCCCCGATGCTGTTCACCTCGATGTCGGAGAGGAACGTGAGAACGAGAATAGCTTCCACCAAGAGCTGCCGGTACTCAGGCTGGGGGACGTGGTTCAGCACCGACTCCACGTGCACAGCAAACTTGATCTCACACGGGGTCATCTGGCAAGTTTGAGTGGAAACAGAAAGAAAAACAGACAAGTCCAAAAGACTAGCTCCCCACAGCCCGCAAGCACTCAAACATTAGACAGGCTCCTCTCCGCATGCGGAGCAGACTGACTGAAACGAAGAAGCTGTTTGTTTGGCTTTAGCACTTACAGAAACTTTTTGTGCTGCGAAGCCCTGATCCTGAAAACAGTTACACAAGGCAACCCATCACACACACACACACACACACTCGCTTTAGTTACATACAGGGCTGCTGATGCTTCGCTGGCAAATTAACTCTTCACTTCCCATGCTGCGGTCTCACGGACTCTGCCTTGTCTCTTTCTGGCATCACAGGTTAGTTGCAAAGCCAAAATTACTGTCGAGTTTTAAAAATAACCACCTGCGCAGAGCGAATGCTTTTCCACACGGAGATACAGCTACGTCGTTTGCAGAGCAGCCCCATTTGCGCTGGCATAGCTCTATGGATGTTACGTGAAAGGCTGCTGCCTAAGGAGGTTTGTGCTTATTTCATTTGATTCCTTTAAACAGCAAAATTAGATACTGTCTAGCTCTGACAGGCTAAAAATATAAGCCTATTTATCTGCACAATAGAGATAAATAAAGCTCTCCATCCCGAAAAAAAAAGGTGTAAATTTGCCAGAAAATTCCAGCTCCTCTTTTCAGCTGTTACCACCGTCCTTCAGAAGAGAAGGAAGCCAGAGATAAATCTGAGGGAACGAGACAGAAAAACAATCTCAGGCACAGAAGCACCTCTCTCTCGCAGATGGATTACTGTTCACGAGAGTTTGGTTTATAGATGTGAATTCAAAACTTGCCAGAGCGCCTAAAGACAGAGTAGCAATCCAACTACAGAAAAAAACAATGCAAGGAAAGGTTATGGATTTAAAGAGTCAAAGCTTTGGTTAGCAACAATCATCCCTAAAGGGTATTTACCTTTGAGACTGCGATGCCAAAATACGCTGGCTGCTGTTGCAGCATATTAAAAAAAAAAAAAACAAAAAAACACAACTGTGGCAAGCAACCTGCCACCTTTATTCCAGCAAGGCTGCGCTCTCCCCTCACCCCGCACGCAGGACTGCCGTCAGCTACCCTCCTTCCAGCGCTGCTCCGCGGGCGCACGGCATCAGCGAAGGCGTGCCGAGGGCAGGCTCTGTGCTGGGGAAGACCTGCCACAAACCTGCTCCCAGACCTGCCTGGCAGCAACGCACCCCCACAGCCCCGGGGAAGCTGGCAGAAGTGCTGGATGGAAGGCCCAGATCTTCTAACCTTCTCAAAACCACGGATCGGCAACAGCAGCCCCGCTGCATCTTACGCTGTCAAACCAAACGTTCAGTCATGGGGCTAGAAAATCGTTGGCATTTTACTGTACCTCTCTGGTGGTTGAAGAGGGAAGGACATACCCATCAATGGACAGACCATGGCACTGAAACAACATTTCAACAACAAACAGAAATTACAGTTCTTGTGAGTAAATCCGAGTGTTCTCTGATACCAGGTGATATCTAACAACCCCCAGCTAAAAAAAAAAAACAACCCACAAAAAAAAACCCTAAACAACAATAAAAGCTGTTAAAAATATTATTTCACCTTTGCTGAAGAAGTTGTTATGGCAAATGTTAGAAACAGCCGGACACGACATGCATAGAGCGTGCTCTGTTCCACTCCAGCTACTGAAGGGGAGGCAAGTAATTAAGAGAGCCACTACAGCACGAAGTGCACAAAGGGGGAAAACAAATCAATGAGAACATTCTGTGGAACAGGATGTAGAAATAAAAGATAACACAAAAGCATGACAACAGACCGCTAAAGTGAGAACATTTATTTTTCATCTTCACTAAAACAACATTCAGTTAAGTGCTTCAAATCCAGGGCACCACAACTCAAGGATGTCAACATGTTGTGGTGCTTGGACATGGGCCATCAACAGTGGAGGAGAGGTGGTGTCAGAAATACCAAGTGCTATACAAGAAGAGAGTGAACAAAACCTAAACGGTGAGAAGGCAGGCTAAGGAATGACACATCTGGGTACCCGAGGTACAAAAACGCACCAAGAAGAAGAGAGAGCGTTTATGAATAGTCCAAAGAGAGTTTAAGAATGAAATGCTGAAGACAAATTAGCACAACTGATTTTAATAGCCAGAAAACCATTCCAGTACTCCCAGCTATCACTTTAGTTCAGGACAGAAGTGATGCTCGCTCTGCTGAAAGATCCCGTTAGTAAGTAGCTACAGGGTCATATATGACTCGTCTTGGCTGCCATCAACACTAACAGCTTCGGCGTAAGTCATTTTAGAAGGACAGCCAAAATGAACCTGAGCTGGGGATGAACAGCTCGGTACTGCGAGATGCCGAATTCTGGCCTTCGTACAAAGCAGAAGAACAGGTGCACGATCACTTTCAAATGAGGAAAAATTCGTAACTGCCCTCTCCTCTTCCCTAGAGACACACATTTCCATACCCCTGATCTCCAAGGACTTACTTGTCACTTCAAAACAAACAAAAAAATGTTAAGAATGCTACACAGCTCAGAAGGGCCATCAAGAGACCTCGAGACATTTTGGAAGAGTCAGTGCAGTTTCCTACTTGGCTCCTCGCAGCCTTTCTGAACCGGAGCACACAAACCGCACTGCGTTGCGCAGCGGCACTGACCACAACCGGCATTACGCCATGGGCGATGCGAAACAGCCAGCAGAGCAACAGAAGCGTTCAGCTGAAACTCAGCACTGGTGGTTTCAGAGCAAAAGATGCTTCCAAACAAACATGTGAACTTGTGTTAAGGGAGCCCTTTTACATTCAAGAGATGCACTTTGCTGACCACTCTAGTTTCCACCGGTACTCCAGCAGAAGACCAACTTCAACCCCGGCAACACGCCGCCTCTGCACCGCCGCCTCCCCGCGTCACCGCACAGCTTGCTTGCTGCCTGCCCTCCACAGCTGCCAACATACCTTCTGAAGGATTTTCCACACTTTCTCATAAAAGCCAACGGGAACTCTGTTAATAGCACCATCAAGCCTCCTTCTGCGCAGCCACTGCCCTTTTCGGTCACCCCAGCTTGTGTGTCCACTGGAGCCAGGAGGAGAAATGCTGGTGGGAGACGATGGAGTACTGCCCTTCTGTAAGAAACATTGAAGCCTTGGTTAGTTGCTTTCTAACACCCCGAGTGCTATTCCTGGCAAATATGTTGTTCTGCTACAATGCTACCTCAGATTGAGGGGAAAAAATACAGGCCACGACATCATGCGAGACGATGGAGCTGGACTGATCCCTTTCTCCCCCCTTCACAACTTGCTTCACTTCTCCAGTACTTCAATCTTTTCTCAACAAAACAGGCAAGCAGTTCAACAGGGCATATAACCCAGTAAACTTCACTGCTTGGTTCAACACAAGGCAAGGCTACTTTAACAAGCATGAGCTGGCTGCCAGGGCAGTGTCACCGGTGTGCAAGATGGTGGGATTTGCAGGTAGGTCTGACTCAGACCTTGGGCTCAGTGTTGTCACAGAACCAGATGGTTCACGAGTCCAGCAAAAGAGGTCCTCCATACAAAAAGCTCCATTAAAGTAAGTCGATTAAAAACTGACTTAATGAGGTCATGTAGTCATGGTGCTTGCCTCCTCTCTGTAAGTATCAGTCTTGTTTTCTTTAGTGTCACTATTGCTCTATTATTTTACGCTACCAGACTTGGAGACTTAATTAGTCTTGATTAGTCAGCAAATCATCTTCAAAGTTGTGGCACTACCACCAAATTCTTGTTCTTATTTCCACACATGCAGTCTGCCCACTCTTTGCACTCCCAGAGACTGTGCTCTTTGTTTCCTCATTGCTTTTTGCACACTTACTACTTTCAGCCCAGAAGGGACTTCACTGACAGCCCCATCTCAAATCCCATCATCTCTGAGTAAGGAACTGCCTGAGCAAAGTACTGGGGAAGGAGGAAAATAAGACTTTATTTTTGCAAAGGGTGGCTCACTGATTCTACACAGCCAAGCTCTGCAAAAAGACCAGCAAATGGGAACAGTCAATTTCCACTGCCACTGGTGTCAGTGAGGCCCAGTTGGCGTTCCCTTGATGTTTTGATGCTTGCTATTCCCTTCCACTGCTCACTGCCTGGGGCAGGCAGAGCTTCGTCCCCGCTGCTGCACGGAGCGAGGGGATGCAGGAGGTCCGCAGAAGGGTCGCTGCCAAAGCACAGAAATCCACCTGCATACACATCGATTAATCTGGCTACTCGGGTGGTTCAGAGAGGCAAAGACCTCACTGAACAGCCCTGCGCGCTTGAATCCAGCGCACAGCTGCAGCCTGCGTTTCTGCACTGGTGCGTGGGGAGAGAGGCGACAGCGACCCAGCAGTCATCAGGCCAGGGCACAGGGCCCACGGTGCTCTGCAGTGGTGTGCTGGGGACACACGGGAGGTGTGCCATCGACAGCGGGGCTGCAGATGCGCAGAACCACGGATCACAAACACCAGTTCGAAGTGCACACGTAGCTGCAAACTTTCCATCTCTTCATGACAGATTTGGAGCCTCAGGCTTCGTTTAAATTGTTAAGGTGTCTGTTGGTCAAGTATTTAAACAATTATCTCCCCTTTTAACAGTGAGAGCTTAAGAAGAGCTACAGCTCTCTGCCTTGAAAGAAGATGACTGCCTGAGGAGATACCCATGCCCACAGAACCCCTGCCTCAGCAACATGAGGCTATTCTGGGTTCCTTACTGTCCACAGACTGCCAGCATTTATCAATGCTACATGACTTCCAAATACTGATGACACCTGCAACATAATCCACTATCAAGTAGCTCAATCTGCTATACTGCTTTATCTGCTACACCTGCTTAAGCTTCAGAAGAACTAAGTGGTTCTAAATGCGAGACTCAGCTTCTATTAAAAGATTACTAATGAGAATTAGTTCCCAGTGAAGATGAGTAAGACAAAGAGGTAGGGTTTAAAACAAGTTTTTACGCAGAAATCACAGGAGGTGTCTAGAGCTAAGACCCTTGCACGCACGCACACACACACACACAGGGTGAAGAGCAGATGCAGAGCTGCAGACAGTGTTTTACCGTGGAAGTGAACATGCTGCTGGACATGGAGTGGCCCTCATGAAAGAACTACAAAACAAAACCAGACACCAACATGTCAGCCATGACAGAACAGGACACAAACAAGGTTAAGTAACCCATCTGTGCAGAGACAAGGAACAAAGAAGCAGCTCAGGCACTCCAATTTGTGCCAGCCCTTTGCAGTGCTGCCCTTCAGCTGACTGCAGGGCAGTGGTGGCCGATCCCCAAGGTCCCCACGAGGCAGAGCCCACCATGCCAGGAGCCAGCTTCGCCGTGGTGCAGCCACAAGCTGCCCATGCCGCCCACCGAGCTCCAGGCATGGCCAACACAAACCACCGCAGTTTAAGATGCATGCAAAAGCTTCCCTTAAAAAAAAAAAAAACAAACCATAACCCCAAGCTCGCCACTTCCATTCCCCATTCATTTGCAATGTCAGCAGCTTCTCTTTGCACGAGCAGGTCATCTTGCTGCAGAAAGTCTGCGGCTGCCGACTGGGCAGGCAGCGCCAAACGAACAGCTGAGAGGCAAAATTATTGCTGGAACGTGGACGCAGCACCCCAGACTTGCAGCACTTCTCTGTAACTGTCCACCCCATGCCATGCCTCCTAATTATGCGCTAAGGGTTCAGACCCAGGCAAAGGCTTGCCTTTCAGACTCAGGAAACAACAGCAGCAAACGAGACAGCTGCAGTCACGCAGCACCCGAGCTCTGGTGCAGAGAGATGTTAGTGCAAGCACTTGAAACGTTGCTTGCAACACAAAGTTCATTTTCCTCTGTCAAAATAACATTAAATGAGTACCTAGTGAATTATTCAGAGAATGCAGTGCGACGTGGAAGGAAACAGCATGAGTGGAAAGGTGGAGAGAACAAAAATAAAAACAGCCAGTTCCTCCTCTGTGCCAAACAGCCGGTTTCCATCTAATGAAAAGCAACGCAGGAAGCCCCTTTCCAACCTCAGCAAACCTCCAGGCATTTCAGCTCAGGCCCAGCTCTGCATTTGCAACAAAATAATACTGCCACCCAGTGCCCAGTCTACCTCTTCCCTCTGGAAAGGCCTCGAAACCAGGCCGTAAACCCTGCTCGGGCTGAACCCCCAAGGTCACTTTGGGGCCGGCGGAAAGCAGCCAGCAGCACCCTCGCAACCACAGCTGCACCACAACCATGCTCATGCGTGGCGACCAGGTCCCGTGGGACGGACACTGCACGTTTCACCGGTGCCTCTGCTTCCCCGCCTCATCGCATCCCACGAAGGATCGTTAGTGGATCCTTACTGTCACCATCAAATGCTCCAACCACGCAGAAGTGCCGCTCCTTTCTGAAGGCTTATAGAGCAAATCAGCTTCATACCATCGAAGGAAAATCTCACACACTTCCTCCCAGAAACCCATAGAGCTGGCCTGTCCTGGTCTCAGCTGGGATAGAGTTGATTTTGTTCCTGGTAGCTGGTGTAGTACTGTGTTTTGGATTTGGCATGAAAATAATGTTGATGCCACAATTGATGTTTTTGGTTGTTGCTGAGTAATCAAGGGCTTTTCAGCTTCTCACGCTTGACCAGACGCACGGGAAACTGGGAGGGGACACAGCCGGGAGAGCTGACCCAGCTGACCAAAGGGTATTCCATACCGTATGGCGTCATGCTCAGTATAGAAGCTGGGGGAGATGGCCAGGAGGCAGCGATCGCTGCTCAGGGACGGGATGGGTACTGTTCATCAGGTGGTGAGCAACTGCACTGTGCATCGCTTGTTTTGTGTATACTACTATTTCTGTCAGTTATCACCTCTTCCTTTGCTTTCCTATTAAACTGTCTTTATCTCAACCAAGAGTTCTACCTTTTTTCTTCTTCATTCTCCTCCCCGTCCCACTGCAGGGGAGAGAACTGAGTGAGCAGCTGCGTGCTCCTAGTTGCCGGCTGGGGTTAAACCATGACATGGCCTCAGATTAAATGAATCAGGCTTGATAATCTCTCAGAAGACAGAGTCTTTTTAAAATATGCTTCTAATACAGAACCACAGCATGGTTTTTGTTGGAAGAGACCTTTCAAGATCACCTAGTTTCAACCCCCCTGCCATGGGCAGGGACACCTTCCACTCAACCAGGTTGCTCAAAGCCCTGTCCAAACTGGCCTTGAAGACTTCCAGGGAGGGGGCATCCACAGCTTATGTGGGCAGCCTGCTCCAGTGCCTCACTGCCCTCATAGGAAAGAACTTCTTCCTTACGTCCAATCCAAATCTACTCTCTTTCACTTTAAATCCATTGCCCCTTGTCCTGCAGTTACAGACCCTGGCAAGCGGTCTCTCTCTGCCTTTCTTATAAGCCCCCTTTGTATACTGAAAGACCACAATAAGGTCTCCCTGGAGCCTTCTCCTCTCCAGGCTGAACAATCCAGACTGAACAATATGAACCTATTCATTCTTACAAGTGTACTTTACTTGATCACTATCTTCCTACTTATCTAGAGCAAAAGATGATTACTAATAGAAACCTTAAAAAAAGAGAAAGCAAAAACATTCATAACAAAACGATCAGTCACATTCGTTCAGAATATTTTGGAGGCATTTTCTATGATCTTTCTCCATATGCTCAGTTGCTGTGTACTTAAATATATATATATTCTAGCACTAATCATCCTCCATTCCTGAAGAAATAAAACAGGAAGAAAACACGCCAAGATTTCTTTTCCAAAAGGCACGTGGACCACACTAGCAACTTGTGCAGAGTGTAAACATGAACACTGTTTGCATGAAAGCTTCACTTTGTACATTTGACCTTTCCTTAGCTAAGGACGATTAAAGAGCTGTTTTAAAGTTGATGCCATGAATGCATTAGAGTTTAGGTTCTTCTATACTCAGTATGTGAAACAAGAACAAAAAAGGAAGAACATTTTTGGAGGAAACATCCCTTTACTGCTTTCTATTCAGTGATCAGCTTTAAATCAATGGATCTTTGGCAATTTCTGTCATTTACCAAGATTCGATTTAAAAATGGTGCCCTAAAATTAACCCATAAAAGTCTAACATAACACAGTACCAGAACAGCTGCATTTTCTGATAAGCATTTATGGAAAAAACCTCACCTGCTTCATCTCACTCTTCAATTTAGAAATACCACTTCTTTCTGTTTTGGTTGCTCCAGAATGCCCCATTTCACGAATAGAAATTGCAGGGCTAGACGAAGAGGAATCTACAGGTCGCCCTAAAAGAAGCAAGTGGACATTTTAAAAATTCTAGGGGGCAGAAAAACAGATGAAATTTTATCTCAAAGTTAAAGACAAAAGCATGTCCTTTCAAAAGCGTACAATGCTCTTGGTGACAGCATCCTTTCAAATCACGTCAATAGTTGAAACCTGATTGCATCAAGTCAGGGGCCTAGATCCACACTTGGATATTGGGACTTGATTTTTCCAGGCCACTTAGCAATCCTAGCTTCAAAAGACATCAGAGTTGCAATGTGTCTGTGAGGGCTTAAGAATGAAGCTGGGAGACAGCTAAAGTGCCAGCTGGGAATACCTGGGCATCAGCAGCTGATGCTCCTTGAAGGCACGTTAGATATGCCTGTTTTAGGGTCTTCATTCTGGTCACAGAAAATGTCTTCATTACAAAAGTTTGCTTTCATACCACTGAAAACTTGACAGAACCTTATTTCAGTGCAGGACAGGTTCCACCATATGTGTTCTGTTTATTCCATGGCAGACATACACAGGTACTGGCCACCCACGATTAATACATAACCTATACCTCTATTTTATGTGCCAAGAGAGTAGATTCCTACTTAGAAGACAATCTAACTTCGTATTTATAGTTCTCACTTAACACACACAAGTACCCAAGTGGACAACTTACAGCTTCTTTCCACACCAAACTCTTTTCCACTGAGAATATGGTGTAGGAGATTTTTCATATCAAAGGGACTAAGATTCATCAAACTCTCTGAAGCTTCTTCACCTAGTTAAAACAAAAAGAAAGCCAAAGACAAACATCACTATAGGTCGCTTCATAGGTTGTTTTCCTAGGTGAACTGCTGACTGAATTAAATTCAGTCACATTTCCCTTGTGGCTAGCACTTCCTTTAAAAAAATTCATATGTAGAGTCAAATTTCAAAGAAAATACATTTCAAGACTAAACAACAAACACTGCATGGAAATAATTCTGTCTGCATTAGTAACTAGTATGCTGTGCCTTGTGTGAAATCTCACCGAAGCTGATGATGAGAAAGCAGTTGCCCCTTTGCAGAGCAAGCTCGCTTGGAAAAGCCTTACAGCCATCTCCCAACAGCAGATGACACGCAGATTTAAATTACAGAGCCGGAGTTATCCCACAAAGAAATGCATGCATGTGGAAGGCTTGCGTTTTATTTGACTAAAGGACGCTTGTAAGTGAGGGAGAGAAAAAGCACCACATACACATGAGCACACGTGTGTGCACAGACAAACCTCCCATAGGAAGACATGGAAAAGCAGCCATGAAGCTGACGGCAGAGTACAAAGCAGCTGGTGTTTAAAGCTAAGGAATAACAAAAAGCCCCCCAGGAGAGAGAGGCTTTGCACTGTGAATAAAGCAGCTTCCGCTATTCAGATACAGCTTTGGAGTAAAGAGGGCTTTCTGTGCACTCTTCATACAGAAACAGAACTATCCCGGAAAATTACTTGGTTCATTTTGTCAGCTTCTCATGAGGCAGAAACCTGCCACTCCCCAGT